TAAGTGCCACGATGTCAATCTTCTTTTACTTCCATGTTTGTTTGCCCACTGTGCCCACCCCCGTGAGGTATTTTCATAAGTGCCACGATGTCATTCATAGCAGTGCTGACAAAAATACCTCACAGGGGGCTATGGGGGAAGGGCGAGGTTGGCAAACAAACACAGAAGGCACGTGTTATTTGCATAAAAATATGGTATGTTAAAGGAAAGCATTCACTGTCCTCTCAATTCTACTATTAAAAACAAAAAAGCAGCATTAAGAGGCATCTCCAAGAACGCAGCAAATGCTAAAATAGGAAAACCACAACCACTAACCCCTAAGCTCCAAGCACTGTGTCAGGGCAGAGGATACAAAGATGAGTGAGACACAAGCTCTCTCACAGTCCAGTAAGGAGGATGAGCTGAAGAATAGATAACTGCAAACAGAGTACAACAGGTACAGGTAACAGAGGCATGTAGACATTACGGTGGGGCTAATAGCACAGTGGTCAGCCATTAATTATTCACTCATCTGCGTCTGCTCCCAGACTGACAATATGCCTATGGCAGGAAATCAAATTTATTCCTCGTGGTCCTCCCAGCATCTGGCACAGCATAGGAACTCAGTAAACTCGGGGCAACAAAATAATCCTTATTCTCGAACAACTGTAAGGTTAACTCTGTAGGTGTTTTTGTTAACCTCCTATTAGATTATTCATTTTTAGAGAATGCATCATATTTTACTCAGTTTTGCATCATCATAGTGATTAATGCAGAAATAACAGACCTTCAATATTAGTTGGATCAAAAAAAATACCAAATCAATTTTAATGAACCAAACCAAAAACCAGTAATCACTTGCTGTCGAGTTAATTCTGACTCATAGCAACCATACAGGACAGAACAGAACTGTCCCACAGGGTTTCCGAGGAGCGAATGGTGGATTCAAACTGCTGACCTTTTGGTTAGCAGGCCCACCTCTCAACCACTGCACCACTAGGCTTCTTTTAATGAACAGAGACTCATTTAAATTGTCATTTTAAATAATACACAAAAGAAGTGGTTTTGTCTAATTCAGCTCACCTAAACTCAAACACAATTATTAAATTATTAACACTGACAGAATTTAAACAGCCATGTTTTCATTAAAAAGTATAAGTCAGTCACTCCTGGGCTCAAAATGCTCCAATTAAAAGCCCAAGTCCACTCCCAACTCTGACCTGATCTTCTACTACTTTTCCCCTCACTAATGATGCTCCAGCCACACTGGGCTCTGGTGTGTGCCACTCAAACACAATCAGGCATACTGTGCCCCAGGGCATTTGCATCTGCTGTCTTCCCACAGACACCTGCATCACTTAGTCTCTCGCTCCCTTTAGATTTTTACTCAAAGCTCACCTTATGAAAGAAGCCCTCTTAGACCACCATGGTCTCTCAAGTTGCAATTCCCTCCTCCCACCTCACAACCCCATCCCCACTTTGCATTCTATTTCCTTTCCCAGCTTTGTTTTTCTGCATAGCCCCTATCACCTTCTAATACACTAAGTTATTTATTTGCTTATTATCTGTCTACTGAGAATATAAGCTCCACGAGGGTAGGGGTTTTGTCTATTTGTTCACTGCTTTATCCCCAATGTTAAGAAGAGTGCCTGGCACAGAGTAGGTAAACGTTTGCCAAATAAACAAATTTACTTTTAAAATAGTAAAACCATTAACACACTCTGCCTTTTGTTTTAAAAAGCTCCTTTCCTTGTTTTATGATTTTTTAATAGGATCAAAACACATAATTTCACGTATACTCAAAATACGGACTGTTGGTCTCTTGGTAATAATAAGAAAACTCTATTTTAGTTAGCCAATTTCACTTGAGATTTCTTACCACAGAGTGTGTTCTGTGAAACACTTAATTTATAGGAGTTCTGCTTACATGCAGCAATAAAGCACAAGTAATGATGTTACACTTAAAAATCGGAAGCAGAGCTCTTGTCTGAGGTTACTTTCCAATGTGAACTAAAAAAATACTGACAGGAATTTTAATAACCACAGTTTATATCGTATCTACCAGTAGAAGTTAAAAAAAATTCCTTAAAAGTTATTAATCATGATAAAATTTCAAATGATGACTAAATATTAGACCACATATACCCATAATAAAAAAGCACACATTTCAAACCAGGATTATCTAGGTTGTTTTGTAAAGATTTTTTGGTGCTATTTCTATACACATAGAAAATACCATAATGTTATTAGTCACTGAATAGTTTTCCGCTTTCCCTTATTTTGCTTTATGACAACATCTATTCTTTTATACTGTCAGCAATAATTCAGGATCGCCTTTTTCATACTGTGAACAGCTAACTCCTGGAAGCCCTATCTGGCTTAAGGGTATGGAGCTGGAAGCACAGAAGAGAGGAAACCAGGTTATAAAGAATTTACCCATCCCTTCGACTACTAATACTTATCAAGTGCCTACTATATTCTCAGGACTGTACTTGATAGAACAAACAAGATAACAGGAACACTCAGTTCAGGTCACAAATGTCCATCTGTCTTGCCTCTTCTACATAAAAGGACGTCAACTCCACTGTTATAGTATAATCACAGATAAAGAAACCCCTGTACATTTTAACAACAGCATCTCACAGGACAATTACCATCTCTTCTCTATATACTTGACTACTCTGATACCCCCAAAAAGCTAGATCCAGTTTGCTAAAACATTTACTTTAACTAGTTGAGTCTTTCATGATACAAAAATGTTTTCCTCAATAAGCACTATTTGAAAAGTTAAAAACCAAAAGACCCCACCAGGATGGCCATTCAACAAATTGA